CATACCAATGGGAGTCTTGTATGTAGTCTAATGGGCCCATAGAGCATAATCAAGCTTCCTTGACCAATCCGTTCTATTAGCATTCACAGACTTCACCAAAATCTGTTTTGATCTCTCTGTTGGACACTTCACCTTCCCCACTAGACTGCGGATGGTAAGGAATGGCTAATTTGTGCCACTTTTACCTTCATTGTTGGGGAGCGCAACTGCTTCCACCCACTTCGATACATAATGAACCGCAACAAGAATGCACTTCATCCCATGTGAACTCAAAAATGGACCCATAAAATCAATTCCCCATACATCAAACAACTCTAACACCAATATAGGATTCATAGTAAGGTCTTGCATCTTTGAAATCCATCCTTCTCTTTGGCAACGATCACAAGACTTTGGAGCCACGATACCCCGTCTATGGTCCGTGGGTTGATCTACGGTCCGTAGATGGGGACCGTAGATCACTCATACAGTTGGATAAATTTAGGAACTTACCTGGGATCTACGATTGACATGAACTCTCTGTAGGTTAACTTACGGGTCGTCGATGGGGTCCGTAGACCTCTGCACCAGACCTATTTTTGTAGATTTTTCTTCGTGTCCCCGCACCTGTAGCAAGCCTTAGGCCATTATTTTTACATTTTCTATTCAATTTTTAGACACGGACCCTATCCTAATTCTAGCTAACACTAATACCAAACTAAAACACCTATCTAAATTAACACAGAGAATCAACTAAACAAAGAAAACCACTAGATGGAAAACAAAAACCTATAGATGGCTAGATTGTACATCTTGGGTTTCCTCCCAAGCAGCGGTTGATTTAACGTTGTGGCACGACGCATGCGTCTTCATTACTGAAACTTCATCAAGATGATAGGCCCCCAAAACCTTCTTGAACACTTTCTACCTTTCCCAGATAGATCTTGATCCTTTACCCGTTAACCATGAACCTTATTCCTTCTCTGTTCTGGAACTCAACCACTCCATGGGGGAGCACTTTTGTGAGGAAAAATGGCCCGGTCCATTAGGATTTGAGTTTGCCCGGGAAAAAGCGCAACCTAGAATTGAATAGGAGCACAAGATCACCCACAACAAATTCTCACTTTTAAATTCTTTGATCATGATACCTCTTTATCTTCTCTTTGTACAAGGCTGAACTTTCATAAGCTTTTAGGCGAAATTCATCAAGCATATTCAAGTAATTCATTCATTGATTAGATGCGGTGCCCCAATCCAAATTTAGCTTCTCCATCGCCCACAAAGCTTTATGCTCTAGCTCTACCGGTAAATGGCAAGACTACCCATATACAAGTTAGTAAGGAGACATACCAATGGGAGTCTACTATGCAGTGCGATCGGTCCATAGAGCATCATCAAGCTTCCTTAACCAATCCGTTATATTAGCATTCACAATCTTTGCCAAAATATGTTTGATCTCTCTGTTGGACTCTTCAACTTGCCCACTAGTCTGCGGATGGTAAGGAGTGGCTACATTGTGGCGGACACCATATTTCTCAAGTTGCGCCTTGAACAACTTAATACAAAAGTGGGAACCTCTATCCCTGTTAATCGCCCACAGTGTACCAAATCTGGAAAATATATTCTTTTTCAAAAATGCAGTGACACTTTTACCTTCATTGTTGGGGAGCGCAATTGCTTCCACCCACTTCGATACATAATCAACCGCAACAAGAATATACTTCATCCCATGTGAACTCACAAATGGACCCATAAAAACAATTCCCCATACATGAAACAACTCTATCACCAATATAGGATTCACAGGAAGCTCTTACCTTTTCGAAATCCCTCTTTCTGTTTGACAACGATCACATGACTTTGGACCCACGAAAACCCGTCTACGGTCCCTGGGTCGATCTACGGTCTGTAGATGGGGACCGTAGATAACTCTTACACTTGGAAAAATTTAGGAACTTACCTTGGATCTACGTTTGACATTGACGGTCCGTAGGTTAACTTATAGGTTGTCGACGGGGTCCGTACACCTCTGCACTAGACCTGTTTCTGTAAAATTTTTTTCGCATACATGCACCTATAGCAACCCTTAGGCCATTATTTTTACATTTTCTGGACACTTTTTAGACACTGACCCTATGCTAATTCTAGCCTGCAGTAGTACTAAAGTAAAACACCTATCTAAATTAACAAAGAGAATCAACTAAACAAAGAAAACTACTAGATGGAAAACAAAAACCTATAGTTGGCTAGATTGTACATCTTGGGTTTCCTCCCAAGCAGCGCTTGATTTAACGTCATAGCACGACGAAGGCGTCTTGATTACTCAGACTTCATCAAGATGATAGGCCTCAACAATTTCTTGCACACATTCTGCGATTCCTAGATAGATCTTGATCGTTTGCCCGTTAACCGTGAACCTTGTTCCTTCACTGTTCTCAAGCTCAACCGCTCCATGGGGGAGCACTTTCGTGAGCGAAAATGGCCCGGTCCATATGGATCTGAGTTAGCCCGGAATCAAGCGCAACCTAGAGTTGATAGGAGCACAAGATCACCCACAACAAATTATGACTTTTCAATTCTTTGATCATGATACCTCTTCATCTTCTCTTTGTACAAGGCTGAAATTTCATAATCTTTTAGGCGAAATTAATCAAGCATATTCAAGTCAGTCATTATTTGCTTAGATGCGGCACCCCAATCTAAACTTAGCTTCTTCAACGCCCACAAAGCTTTATGTTCTAGCTCTACCGGAAAATCGCGAGACTTTCCATATACAAGTTGATAACGAGACAAACCGATGGAGTCTTGTATGCAGTGCGATAGGCCTACAGACCATCAATAAGTTTCATTGACCAATCCGTTCTATTAGCATTCACAGTCTTTGCTAAAATCTGTTTGATCTCTCTGTCGGACACAACAACTTGGCCACTAGTCTTCGGATGGTAAGGAGTGGCTACATTGTGGCGGACACCATAATTCTCAAGTAGCACCTTGAACAACTTATTAAAAAACTGTGAATCTTCATCACTGATAATCTCCCTCAGTGTACCAAATCATGAGAAAATATTCTTTTTCAAAAATCAAGTGACACTTTTACCTTCATTGTTGGGGAGCGGAACTGCTTCCACCCACTTCGATACATAATCAACCGCTACAAGAATATACTTCATCGTACGTGAACTCACAAATGGACCCATAAAATCATTTCCCCATACATCAAACAACTCTATCACCAATATAGGATTCATAGGAAGCTCTTGCCTCTTTGAAATCCCTCCTTCTCTTTGGCAATGATGACAAGACTTTGGACCCACGAGACCCCGTCTACGGTCCGTGGATCGAACTACAGTTTGTAGATGGCGACAGTAGATCACACTTACACTTGGAAAATTTTGGAACTTACCTGGGATCTATGTTTGACATTGACGGTTCGTAGGTTAACTTACAGGCAGTCAATGGGGTCCGTAGACTTCTGCACCTGTAGCAACACTTAAGCCATTATTTTTACATTTTCTGGAAACTTTTTAGACACGGAACCTATGCTAATTCTAACAAAATATAGTACCAAACAAAAACACCTATTTAAATTAACACAGAGAATCAACTAAACAAAGAAAACTACTATATGGAAAACAAAAACTTATAGTTCGCTAGATTGTACATCTTAGGTTTCCTCCCAAGCAGCGCTTGATTTAACGTCACGACACGACGCATGTGTCTTGATTACTCAAACTTCATCAATATGATAGGCCTCAACAACTTCTTGCACACTTTATGTGTTTCCCAGATAGATCTTGATCCTTTGCTCGTTAACCATGAACCTTGTTCCTTCATTGTGCTCAAGCTCAACCGTTCCATGGGGGAGCACTTTTGTGAGCAAAAACGGCCTGGTCCATTTGGATTTGAGTTTGCCCGGAAACAAGCGCAACCTAGAGTTGAATAGGAGCACAGGATCAACCATAACAAATTCTCACTTTTCAATTATTTGATCATGATACCTCTTCATCTTCTCTTTGTACAAGGCAGAACTTTCATAAGATTTAAGGCAAAATTCATCAAGCATATTCAAGTAATTTATTTTTTGATTAGATGCAGCGCACCAATCCAAATTTAGCTTCTTCATCGCCCACAAAGCTTTATGCTCTAGCTCTACCGGTAAATGGCAAGACTTCTCATATACAAGTTCGTATGGAGACATACCATTGGGAGTCTTGTATGCAGTGCGATAGGCCCCTAGAGCATCATCAAATTTCCTTGACCAATCTGTTCTATTAAAATTCAAAGACTTTGCCAAAATTTGTTTGACCTCTCTGTTGGACACATCAACTTGCCCATTAGTCTGCGGATGGTATGGAGTGGCTCCATCACTTATACATAACTGATAATCGCCCTCAGTGTGCCAAATCTGGTGATGATATTCTTTTTCAAAATTGTGGTGACACCTTTACCTTCATTGTAAGGGAGCGCAACTGCTTCCACCCACTTTGATACATAATCAACCGCAATAAGAATATACTTAATCCCATGTGAACTCACAAATGGACCCATAAAATCAAGTCCCCATACATCTAACAACTATATCATCAATATAGGATTCATAGTAAGCTCTTGCCTCTTTGAAATCCATCCTTCATTTGGCAACGATCACAAGACTTTGGACCCACGAGAGCCCATCTAAGGTTCGTGGGTCGATCTATGATCTGTAGATGGGGACCCTAGATCAATCTTAGAGTAGGATAAATTTAGGAACTTACCTGGGATCTACGTTTGACATGTACGGTCTGTAAGTTAACTTACAGGTCGTCGATAGGGTGCATAGACATCTTCACCAGACGTGTTTCTGCAGATTTTTCTTCACGACCCTGCACCTGTAGCAACCCTATTTTACCTTCCTTAATCTGCACCAAACAATCAGGATTTATCAAGGGTAGAAGCATTTCTAGAATAATATGCTTGCTCAAGAAATCATTCATCAGATTAAAAAGCCCACCATTGGAAGCAACGTATTGATGAAATTAGACATGGCTAAGGCCTATGACAGGGTCTCTTGGTCATACATTTGCTTGGTTCTTAGGAAAATGGAGTTTGATGAAGTATTCATTGATATGACTTGGAGGATCATGACTAATAATTGGTACTCCATCATTATCAATGGCAAGAGATATGGATTCTTTCACTCAACAGGAGGTTTGAAGCAAAGTGACCCCCTCTCCCCAGCCCTATTTATTTTAGGTGCTGAGGTGCTCTCCAGATCTTTGAACAGACTCCACCAAGACCCTCTATACCATGGTTTCTATGTGGAAATAAGGGCACCCAAATTAATCACCTGAGCTTTGCAGATGATATCATTATTTTCACCTTAGGAAGAAAATATTCACTCATGCTTATTATGAAGACTTTGTCTATTTATGAGCAGAGTTCGGGACAACTCATTAATATAGCCAAAAGTCACTTTTTTATTCCATCCAATGCTTTCAGGACTACTTCTGACATAATCAAGAAATATATTGGCATTCACCAGAAAGAAGCTCCAATCACTTATCTTGGATGCCCTCTCTTTATTGGTAGACCTAGAATTATCTACTTCTCAGAAATGGTCAACAAAGTGGTTAACAGAATCACAGGCTGGCAATCACAAATGTTGGGTTATGGGGGCAAAGCTACTCTAATCAAGCATGTCCTACACACACTTCTTATACATCTACTATCAGCTATTTCCTCTCCCTCGACCACTATTAAGAAATTCAGGGAATCATGGATGATTTCTATTGGGGTTGGAGAAATGATAAGAAAAACTATCACTGGTCGTCTTGGAAGAACCTAAGTTTTCCTTATGATGAAGGGGGCATTGGGGCTAGACTCATGAGTGAAGTTTGTCAATCTTTCCAATACAAACAGTGGTAGATTTTTAGGTCCAAGCAAACTTTATGGGGTGATTTTCTAAGGGCTAAATATTGTCAAAGATCTAACCCTGTGAGAAAAAAAGGGTTGTCAAGACTCCCATGCTTGGAGGCTTATGACAAGGAATAAACACAAGGTGGAGACTCATATACAATGGAAAATCAGGTCTGGTTCATGCTCATTCTGGTGGGATAATTTGTTAGGGGTTGGCCCATTGGCTCAGTTCATTGAAGACATCAACAGATTCAACAATGACACTATCTCAGAATTTATTGAAGAGGGAAAATGGAATATAAACAAAATCATTCAGCTAGCTCCTCTAACTCAGGTGCACAACATCCTTGCTACTCAGCTTCAGCTTCAACAAGGTATTCCAGATCAGCCAGTGTGGAACCTTAACTGTAATGGTGTGTTCACCTTTACTTCTGCCTGGAACTCCATCAGAGAACAAAGAACCAAAACCAAAACTAACACTCACACTTGGCATATAAATATTCCTTTCAAGTGCTCTTTTCTATTATGGAGAGCATTAAGAGGCAGGCCTCCTACAAATGAGAAACTCTCCAGTTGTGGCATACAACCTGCAGACTTTTTATGCTGTCATCCAGCAGGAATGGATATCATTGATCACATTTTTAATGCTGGAATATTTGCCTAAAAGGTTTGGAATTTTTTTGATGACTCCCTGGACATCCAAACTGATTATATTCCTTTTAGATATATGATTATGAGATGGTGGGAAAACAACTACAATAATGAGGCCCATAAACTTATTCTTCAATCCACTCCAATCTTTATTTTTGGAACTTGTGGAAGAATAGGTGTGCAATAAAATATAGGGGAAAGCAATCTAACATTGCAAGGGTCAAGTTCTTGGTGCTTCAGGATACTTTCAAGTTACTACATACTGTTTTTCCTTACATCACTTGTCCATCAAGCTGGATGGAAACTGTCATCCTTATTGAGAAATGCTTTCATGAAACCAAGGTCACTCTTGTCCTATGGATGAAACCACCAGATGTGTGGTTTAAACTCAACACAGATGGAAGTGCATTGGACAATCCAGGTAGCATAGGAGCAGGAGGTATTCTTAGAAACTCCAAAGGAAACTTAATATTTGATTATTATGTTCCTTTGCTTCATGGCACCAACAATCAAGAAGAAGTGGAGGCAGTTGTATTTGGCTTATCATGGTGTGTTCAGTTGAATTATCAAAAAGCGGTACTGCAAGTTGACTCACAAATGCTGGTGGACTGACTTTTGAACAAATCAGCCCCTCCTTGGAACATCTCATCACAAATGCAACAGCTTCACATCCTTACCACACACTTCTCACATTTCAAATGCATTCACACACTTAAGGAAGCCAACTTTGTTGCAGATTCACTCTCCAAACACATCCATCAAGTCACCAGTCCCCAACTATACTTCACCAGCCAACAAATTCTAAAAGAGGCACCAACTTATTATCTTCAGCAAGACAAGGTAGGCATGGCAAGTTTCAGAAGAAAAAAAAGAAAAGAATTAAGAAACCCGCTTGACTTACTCAATAGCATGGTGGGCCTATAAAGGAGCTTGAACTGCAAATGGTCTGTTTTGGTGATCTATCAGTCATCTTCACATAGGCTATCTCTTTTAAAGTTATAGCCTTTATGAAGAGATTTTATTTTTCTTTTAAAGGGAGAGTCTCCCAAATTTATGCTTTCCTAGATTCTCTGTAACGAGAGGAGTCCTCTCACATAGGTGCTTAGATGATAGGCTTCATTAATAGTATGGGTAAGAGTTGGAGAACCTTAGTAGGCTACCAAATCTTGAACTACCATAGGATGGAGGTAAGGTCTATGCTCCCCTCCCTGTATTTTTCAATGTTTATCTATGATAAGGCCTAGGGGTATTGCTCAGCCCCTGACCCCCCACAAGGGCCAATAATTTTTTTAAAAAAAAAACATAGTCAACATATAGATCATCATAACATAAGAGAAACATATCATAAGTACCCTCGAAGCATACTTGTGCAATGCATGAAAATGACCCCATCAATCCCACCCATGCTAAGTAAAGCTTCTTGAGTAACCATAGTTCATAATTCATATCCATGTTCATATTGTTGTCACATTGGGAATAAGCCTTAACTGACATAGACCATGTGAGCTTAACATGGAATCCGGTGTCTACCCTACACCGAAAAAGGGTTGTCCTACTTTCCTAAGGTAGAACCATACTCTTAGGTTAGGTGGATCCACTAGCTAGATACCTATGAGGGCATATAGTTTATGGGATAAGAATATTTCTGTAACGACCCAAAAAAAATGAACTAGTGAAACTAGAGCTTCACATGTGAGTTTGGAGTTGAGAACTTGATGAAATGATGAGAAATGACAGTGACGTCCGGAAACTAGTCGTTTGAACTAGTAAGTTGTAAGGGTCTTGTCGTTGAAGTTTGGAGTGTTGTTTAAGGGCTTAAGGGGTTGATTAGCTAGTTGATTAATCACCTTTAAAATCTAGCAAGACCTTAAGCTAGGTCATGAAATAATTTAGAACCGAGACCCTCAAAACAGTCCCCTAAAAACAATTTTTAGTTTTAAGTTAGGAGTGAGGGTCAACTTTAAATGGTCATATCTTTTAGCTCAAAATGAATTAGGTGGACCATTACATATCCAATTAAAGGTATCTGAGTCCTCTTTCCAACGCCACCGAGTTTTCTCTTTTCCGATCTCGGAGTAAAAAGTTATGCCCAAAATAGTGAAGCACTGTCAGCAAGGACGAGCTTAGACGGGTTTAGTGGAAACTTTTAAGTGGGTCCTTATTTCTTTTCCTAAGTTGAGCCCCTTTTATTATATGACTTTCCTAGCAATTATAAAACCCTTCTAGACCAAATTCTTCCATTTTAAGTCACTCCAATTAGAATTAAAAAGAACCCACCTCCTCTCAAATACTTTTCTCTCTACAATCCTACATTTTAAGAAGGTCAAGAACTTGGAGCTAGGGCTTGGATTGAAAGTGGTTTATTCATCAATTTTCTTGGGGAATCTTAACAAAGGTATGGTGACCCTTGATCCTTGATTATCTTTCCTTCAAGGAGTCCATTCAAAAGGGTTTCAAAAGTTTTCAAAGAACAAAACTTCTATTTTCTATTCTAGGTATGGGTTCATGGGTAAAATGTTTTCAAAGTCATTATATTGGTGAATTGAAGTTCTATTTATGATTTTAAGATGATTTTTATATGAAACTTCTTCAAGAACCCATGTTTTCATTAAAAGCCTAGAATTTGCTAATGAAGTGGGTTTAATGCCTATGATTTAATGTTGATGAAATTGAGTTTAGATTGGATTATATTATTGATTTATATGGTTTTCTATACCTTTTTATGATGAATTGTTGGTATATGGATGAATTGAGGATTGTGGCCTTATGGGCAAGTTATGGATGAATTCTCTTGTGGTAAGAAAAATGGTTGGTACTTGAGTGTTGTTGATTACGGCTTTGGAGGATGGTAAGTTGGCTTAATCTCATATTATGGATTAAAAAAAATTGTTCTTGCTTGGTTTGATCCACTTGTGGTGGAGGTGTTTAATTATGGAATGTATTGTGACCATGGCCTTGAAGGCATAGTATGAGAAATACAAGTGTTACATGACATTTTTATGAATGACATTCAATGGAGCTAATGTGATCATGTTATGAACGTAAATGTGTTATTATTGAAAGGATTTTTCTCAATTTGACACTCATGAATGTTGATGATAGAATATGAAGGATTCTCCAATTTATTGCATATCTCGAATTGGTAGAGCTTGAGCATCATTTTCTTGTTTAAATGATTATATTATTGGTTGTTGAATTCTCGGATCGGTAGGCTAGTAGCACCCTTCCAGTCATGATAGTAATGAACCTTGGAATCGGTAGGCTTATCGTACCCTTCCATTAATGATAGTAATGAACCTTGGAGTCGGTAGGCCTATGGCACCTTTCCATGAAGGTTAATGATGAGACTTGAACCGGTAGGCCCATGGCACCCTTTCAAGAAGATTTAATGAGATTTCTTAAATGAACCTTGAATCGGTAGGCTTAAAGCACCCTTTCACGTGTTAATGAATGTAATTTGGAGTTGGTAGGCCAATGGCACCTCTCATATGTGATAATGTCAAGGTAACGAACTATTTTATAGGAATGTAGGCTAAGCACCGAGTGGATTTGGTTAGATGGAAACTCCCCCAATGGTTAGGCATGAGTTTCAATGATCGTCTACCTTATCCCATAAACTATGTGCCCGCATAGGTAGCTAGTGGATCCATTAAGCTATATATACCGGTCTTTCTTAGACAAGTAGACCACCTCTTTACGGTGTGGGGACTTATGACACCGGATTCCATGACAAGCTCTCATGGTCTATGTCGGTTAAACGCTTACTTCCCATCATGTGAGATTTCATTATGGTTTCTTGATAGGTTCTACAAAGTGTAGGTAGTAGTATGGGATGCTACCTATACATTGCACGAGTAGGCTTGGAGAGGGTCATAGTGAGTTTCTCTAAATCCTAATGTATGTGACACAATTGTGGCCTAAATGAGGTTATTAAAGAATGTTGGCTCTCAAATGCTTAATATGAGATGCATGCTATACTTGGGTTATATTATGAGTTATTTTCCCTTGTCATGTCTTAATTAATGATATACCTCTTATGTCTGAATATTGTGCAAAGGTGAAAGAAAGGAATGATAAGTTACTTTAAGTGACCTTAATGTGGTGCCTTAGTATGGATGGTGGTATGGGACGCCATCCATACATTGCACGAGGTATAGCATAAGGGTTTCTTGAGGTGAAAGTCCAAGGTAAAGGTTTTCATGTTGATATTGTTTAAAGGTGATATTATGACTTACTTAATGTTTATGCTTGTCTTGTATGTCTTTTATGCAACTGTTC